TTCATAAAAAATTTAGAATACTAAATGAGATTTTTGAATTGCTAATAACAATTATATATATATATATATATATATTATATAATTGACATGTTGAATATATTTAAGTCAAATGATAACCAACTTTTGTTGTATTGGGTACTAAACATTTTACTCCCGTTGGTGGTCATTGATCTGGTCTCAAACACAGAAAAAATCTTGAAGTTTGACTCCTCTAACTTTCACATTTTTTCACACGGCTGGTTTTGTTTTCTTCTTTTAAGTTGAGTCTGTCAGGCACCTAGATGGTGATGAAGAAAACAGTAATGAAATCAGACGGCTACGAATGAAACTACAAATATTATATATATATATATATATATATTTTTTTTTTTTAAGAAAGCTCGAATGAAACTACAAATATGATGCTACCATTAGTTTGCATGTTTTAGCAGCAAGGAACGTGGTGGCACTGCATGCATTTGACCTCAATGTCTTGATGTGGACTCACCGCAAGAGCAACTTTCATGTTAGGATTATTCCGTTGTCATGGCCTTGTATTCTAATCCGCTTTGCAACGGTCCCGATTGATGGATTGTTTACGGACTAGTTCACGCTGGGAGGACTTCATAAAGATATTTTGTCAGGAATTTGGATCCTCAAAGTTTGAGGATAGCGTTGAAGTTTTGTTCAAATTGCGTTAACACAGATACTCTTAATGATTATATCACTGAATTTCGTAGACTCGCAAGTTGGACTCGTCATGTAGGACCAACTTTGCTAAAGAGTTGTTTTATAGGGGATTAAAAAGAGAATTAAAGTATCTTAAATGGATGAGAATAGCTTCTTTATTATTGTATTTTGTTCTTTATAGTCTGAATATGATATGAATTCAATCCAATTTTAAGGTAGAGATGAGAATGATTCTTTTATTATCCGAATATGATATGAATTCAATAACCTAATTATAATAGGCTTAAATGTCAAAATGGTCCTTGTGTTATAGTCATATGGTCAATTTAGTCTCTGTGTTTTTTATTTGGCTAATTTAGTCACCATGTTTGTCTCTATTAGCCAATTAAGGACATTTTATTCAAATCTTTTTAAAATTTCATAAAAAAAATTAAATGCGATATAATTACCCTTTCTCTTCACAAAAAAATGAAAATCAATGAGAAATAACACATAAAATACATAAAACTTCCAATTTGAAAATGATTAAGGTTGTGATATAGAAAAGAGAGGGGGTAATGTTAGGGAAGGGGTCGGGGAATTGGAAGGAGAATAAATTTTCTTTTATTTTTTAATTTTATTTCATTTTTAAATATTTTAAATCAAATAAATCATTTATAATAAAAAATTCAGAGAAATTAGATGGAAATGTCCTTAATCGGCTAAGGGAGATAAACACAAGGATCAAATTGGCCAAATTGAAAACACATGGATTAAATTGACCCAATGACTAAAACACATGGATCATTTTAACATTTCCGATCCAATTTAATACGTACTATTTGATTTTGTATTATTATTATTACTTTATATATATATATATATATATATATATATTATATACTTGTGTGAAATAGTACGTTGTTTAGGTTTTTTTAGCATTCAAAATACGCGTATAAGGATCCTATATTATACTAGTGATATATTTTTTTAAAGTCTTAAATTAAATCCTATAAGGATCCAAATCGGTATGAAATCGATGTTAATTGGGTATGGATCGACAAATCAGGCTTGATAATTCGAACAAGATCTGAATACGACAACCTGATTATATGGATCCGAATATAAATTGACTGATCTGATCTAAATCTGACATGTTTACAAGTCTAATGTGTTGTGAAAGTAACTGTGTTTGTGAATTATATAGAAAAATTGCTAGGGGGCCAAATTAACTTGTAATTGCACTTTTTTGAGTACTTTTTTTTTATACAATAATATATTTTCATTTAATGTGTGGAGAAATAAATTAGTATTGAACTCATCATTCACGAAATTATAATCTAAGACAGACAATTTGCAAAAGAAGAGAAACATATTAAATCGTAGGGCTAAGTGAACACTTTTTAGTACTTTTAAAAATAAAAATAAGCAATTATCAAAGGGTAGCCAACCGCAAAAAAGAAAGGGTTTTTATCACATATGGTCTCCGAGATTGATCAAACTCATCATTTTGGTCCTTCACTTTTAAAATCAATCAATGTCGTCCCTAACATTCACTACCGCATATCAATTTGGTCCTTTCATTAGATTTCGTCAACTATTTTGTTAGTTTGTATGCGGGACCCACAAATCCAATGAAATGGTGACACGTGTATTACACAAAATAAAGGTTTTTATTGCAAATGGTCTCTAACGTTGATCCAACTCCTCATTTTGGTCCTTAAGTTTCAAAAATCAATAAATTTGGTCTCTAACTTTCAATACCGCATGTCAATTTAATCCTTCCTTTAAAGTTTCGTCATTATTTTTCATTAGGTACCAAAATGATAAGTTTGATCAATCTTATGAACCATTTGCAATAAAAACTCAAAAAGAAAAAGATGATAAGGTAACATAAGCATATTCCAAGTCCAAATTCAAACTTTTTAATCCTTGGCTAGGATAAAGTGGTTGTGCATGCCTATTAGGTAAAATAATAACGGATTTATAATCATTTTAATTGCAAAAAATTTAGTGTAATAATTATGGGATTAATTACACTAACATCCTCTGAGGTTTTTTGAGTTTTCACAAAACTCCCTCAGGTTTAAAACATTACACTAACATCCCTTCAGATTTTAATACACTTTCATAAATGCCCATTTGGTCAAAAATTTGTCTATAAAAAGACAAATTTACCCTTATAATTTATTACTCAAGAAAACAAAAAAACTTATATAAATAAACAAAAAAAGAAAATCAAATTAAGAATTACATAAAACATTGATGGTTGATATGTTGAACGAGGGATCAATTGATAGAGGTTTTGGAGGAGGGCAAGGATTTGGAGTCCGAAAACGTAAAGCTTGAGCCTTGTGGTTGGATTTTTGAGACTGGTCAAGGATAAAAGAAACCCTACTGGGCTTTTGCCGGTCTGAGTTTGCTCAAGACAATTTGTTCCCACGAATCAGTCAGGAACTTGGTTGTGAGCGTTGGGCCAGTTCCTCAATTGATCGAGCTCTTGTCCGGTATGAATCACTAGTGTTTGGATAGCCCTTTTCTAGAAGTTTTGTCAATACTTCCTGACGAAGGCAGGCATTGAAAGATTGTGCCAAGAAATTTCCCAGTGTAGTTAGACTACTGATGAAGGTTTCAGAAAGCTGCACTCAGCTCACACTGTCGATCTCGTGAGCGGTGTGCAAGCTCGCACGGGACGGATGTGCTTTGCTTGCGGTAGGGGCGGGTTTGGCAGCCCAAGCTGCTGCTTGTAATTCAAAGTGGTTGAAATCCTGTACTGAAGCAAAGAATTGCCGAGCTCTTGAAGTTGTGTAGTCTAAATACACCGCTGCACTATTCATTTCGAAGTGTAAGCTTACTGGAACAGTACAATGAAGAAAAAATGGCACTTTGTTGTTTAATGTAATTTTTAATTTTCTTTTCTTTTCTTTTTCTTATTTATTTATAAAAGTTTTTTATTTTGTTAAGTAATTAATTATAATGGTAGATTTGTCTTTTTATAGACAGATTTTCAATCAAAATGGCATTTGTGAAAGTGAATTAAAACCTAAATGGATGTTAGTGTAATGTTTCAAACCTGAATGGTTTTGTAATGCACTGTTAGCTAGGGTTTTGAACAAGCAAAAAATGCTCCTTTATCTAAATTCAACTCGTCAATATTAAAACAAAGAATCTAAAATGTCTACGATAGCAGCAGCAGCAGCGTATCTCAAGCTCGTCACATTCCTATAACCAAGGCTGCGCAGAAGCTTATTCTTTGCCGTTTTACAAGGTCTTTATTGTATGATCTCTCTCAGTTTTAATCTCTATCTCAATTTCCAGAGAAGAATTTTGTTTTTTTTTGGTTTTGTGTTTTTTTATATGTAATTTGTGTTATACAGTTATTTATCAATTAAGAAGGTTATCAGATGTTAAGAGTCTTTATCTGCTTGTGTAATGATATGTAATGGCTACATCGAGGGAGGGAAAATCGAATTTGGAACTTCGAGTGCAGGGGGAGGATGTCATGAAAACACTACTAGAATTTTGGCTAAAAGCCACTCTTTTCATTGGTGTCTATTGTCAAATGTGGACACTCTCATTGGTGACAAACCTCAATGGCCACCAAGCAGCCACTAAACTAGAGAACATGTCCTATGTAGAGGACTCTATTGTAACAATGGCTACCAATATTGCATTGGTGTCATCTGCAAACAATGCCACCCTAATTCACATTGGTGGCAAAGTTGCAAATTGTGTTTTAAAAAAAAGGATGCCCTGTGTAGGCACCCAAATTGGAGTATCATATTTCTTTTTCTGTTTTTGTGAGAAAACAAATTGTAATATCATTAAAAGTATAAGAATACAACTATAAATTTGCATAACTAATATTTTATACAATTTTGTACAAATGTTGGAGCCAAACTTTAAAAAGTCTTCGAACCCTTTGTTTCCAAGAGCTTAATCATCTCAATAACTTGAATCTGATCATCAGCTGCAACCTGCACCCCAAAATCAAACCCATAAATTTCGTAAGAATAACGTTTAACTCAAGTCCAACTGTTAAAGTGATTAGAGTTGAGGACAACACTAAGATATGATCATATAAATACCTGGGAAAAGTAGATTTTCAAGGGGTTTGCAGTCATAATTTACCATACAAAAATCTCCACAAATTCACTGCAACCCTTCTGCAACTTCAACTAAGAACATATTAAATTGACAAGTTCATGAATATGCAGATCACCTTCAACCTTGAAACAACAAATGATCTCCCAATCTGCGTGGGTATTCAAGAATAAGATAAAGAAAGCATGGATACTATATTTATGACCGATGGGCAGAAGACAAGATACAAACAAAGCATTTACATATGAATGAGGGAGAACAGAAATGAGAACGGAATATCAGTGAAGAGCGTGCGCATACTCACACATGTAAATGCATTAATATTTTCTCTTTTTTCAGAAACTCAAAAAACAAGGAATCCCCATGACGAAGGCATCCCCATTACCGCCGAGAAGATTGCAACCTTGGTGAAAGCTGCCAACGTCCCCGTCGAGCCTTACTGGCCTGGCCTGTTCACCAAGCTCGCTAAGAAGAAAAACATTGAAGATCTTATCCTGAATTCTGGTGCTGGTGGTGCTGTTGCCGCTCCTGCCCCAGGTGTACGAGATGCTACGGAGGATAAGAAGGAGGAACCTGAGGAAGAGAGTGACCACCAGTGGTGAAGCCAGGAATTGTAGAGGGGAGGGGCGAATGTAAAAGAGTGCAAAGTTAAAAAAAATGGCAGCAACCAAATCCTATTGTATAGTAATGGCGTCCATAATTCAATCATCTACATTTAAAAACCCTTTCTAAGTGGAGACATCGCTGCCAATATTCTTGCTTTATAAAAATCACATTAGAAAATATAACAATAACAGCAAAATGCAACATTTTTTACTATACTACACTCCAACCACTCATAAATATCAAACCTACTACGCGAAAATTTTGTATGAGGATTAAAGCACTGTTTCTTATAATATCGCTCCATTACATAACTGTATAATAAGAAGAAAAAAAATGACTTAGACTATTAATTCTAAATTCTACTATGACTAATAACTAATTAAACTAACAATTGAATTAATCAATGATCAATAATCATATAAGTTATCACTAATCAACAATAATTATGTTGATGATCAACAATTAAATTATCAGTAATAACAATTCCAATAACCAAGAAACAATAATTCAATTCATTCAAAATTACAATGTGGTGAATTACTTTAATTCCTTTTGGTTCAATGTAATTTTTAAAATTCTTGAACTACAATTTATAGCATTTTGAATGTTGTACCATTTTGAGGTGTTCTCTTTTATATATAGTATAATAAAACATTACACAAAAATAAAAAAGAATAAAAAGTGATATTGGGGTTAATACAAAATAAAAGGAAATAAAAAGAAGTAGAAATAAGATGGCGGACTATTTAAAGGAAAACGCGTAGCAATTAAAAAGATGGTGGGACCATCTCAAATGAACCGGGCAATAATGAGACCAAAGTCATCTGCTTCCTCGCAGCCGGCTCTGCAAAAAAAAAAAATTCAGATTCCGCATAGCTCTGCCTAATCCCTTCTAGTCCCACCTAGGCATCCTCCTATTGTGCTTTTCGATTTTGTGACTGATTAGGAGGGGGTAGGTTTTTGAACGAGAACAGAGGGGCGAATTGTTCCTCCTGGGCTTCAGTTCCGGCAAGAGGAGGGGCTGACCCAGATATCCAGTCCAGTTTTCCGGCGAGGGGAGTGGCGGCCGCCACTCCTCACCCTCACGTGGCTTCGCGACTAGTGACGACGATTGTCCAATTTCCGATTTGTTCAGTTAGGAGCTCCTTTCAAACAAGACAGTGACGTCCAATTTTCAATTAATTTCCTGGTTTTTACTACTTAGTTTGAGATTAGTTACCTTATGAATATTATAGTAGGGCTTTCTTTTTTTTATTTTTGGCTTATGATAGCGTTGCTATATGGACAAATTGTTGTCTTTTTTTGGTCAATATAATTATATATTCACGGACAAATTGTTCAAACTCATTTTTTTCTCCCACCGAGCACCCTAATTTTGAACATATAATTTGTGGTTGCAAATTTCTTCCTCCTCGATCTTGGACGATTTTGCACCTACAAAACAATTAACACCTTAGGTTAAGGCCAAGAGCCTCACGCGCCCACGATGAATGGGGGGAGCTTTGGCCGAAGAACCTCCGATGCCAAAGTTAGAATTTAGAGAGAAAGAGTGTTTAGAGAATTTTGGGATTTTTGCCAAAGTGTTGGACTTAGCTTTTTGGTGAGAATGGGAGTATATTTATAGGGATAGGAGGTGGCTAGGGTTTTTAGGTTTAATTTAGGTTTAATTAGCCAATTTATTATGATAAATTTGCTAATTAAACATAAAGGGAATAAATGGATGGTTATAGAATCAATTAGCTAGCTTAATTGGGGTAGTAAAGTGGGAAAGATAGGGAAGGTAGAAAGCTTAAGGGGATGGCCGGCCATGTGATGTTTTTAGGGTTGAATTGGTTTGTATTTGTGGTTATTTGGATATAATGGATGGTTTAATTGAGAATTAATGGGTTAATTAGGCAATAAACCCATTAATTAGCCAATTAACATAATTTAAAAGGAATGTGTTTGGGAATTACCTTGTAGAAAGGATTTGATGAGATGGACTTTGAATTGTTACCTATTTTGGGCACTTCTGTCTTGGTGAAAGAGGGTTGCCCGCTGCTTGCGCGTAGGAACCTCGTTGTACTGCAAGGATATTTTTATCCTTTTTGTCCAAAAAACCCACGTGTCGCCTTGTGAATATTTTTTGCTCCACATAATTTGTCTCAATTTCTGGGTAAAAAAGTTTGCCATATGGTCCCTGCAACTCAGTTCTTAATTGTTTCCGGTGGAAATTCATACAGAGCTTTCTGACTTTGTTTCCTGTTGAATTTAATGTTTGTGTATAATGCGTATGTCGATCTTTACCTTCTTAAATTTTATGATTTAAGCTTCATCTTAAATCAAAGGATCTGGTTGGGGATGAGAGTTTCCTTTTCACAATTCTCTGCTCACACGATATTTGGTTGGAAACAAGAACTTTCTTGTCACGATTTTATTATCCCTCTCTTCCTGTGACATTTTATAAGCGATGAGAGCTTCCTTGTTACGGTTTACTGTCTTTCCCTTCAAATGATATTTTGTCGGGGTTGAAAACTTCCGCGCCACTATTTTTGCCCAATCTTTCTATTTGATCTCAAATTAGGAGAGAAATATGGAAATGAATCGATGAGTAATGAAACTGTGACGTGCATGGTTGTATTTTTCCTTGTTGAGAGCAATGAATTGATCCTTCAATCATTTTATTGGGTTTGGCCTCATCCTTAATTCTCTTGTAAGCAAAGACCTCTTCTAAGGTTTCAACCTGGTAAACCCTTTTGAACATCTTCCATTCTGTTAGTGAACTAGTGGGGATTTTTGACGAGCGACATCACAACTTTAAATACACAAGTTCCCCATGGCCAAAAAGAAGACTCCTGTCTCTTTTTTACCCTATAACAATGCACCAAATTGTCCGCACCATTTACTGTGGTCCTTGCCAATCTCATGTTATAACACTTATATCTATTTAGTAATACTAGCCTTTTTTTAATTTTTTTTATAAGGGAATTGTTATTAGCACTCCAAAAATCTCATTTGGCACTTCAAACTTTCTATAATTAGAAGAAAAAAAAAACACTTAAGAGGAGTGTATGATAAGATTTTTGGAATGCTAATAATAGTTCCCTTTTATAATACACAACATCATTTACAGTTAACTGTCACACTCGATAGATTAGTAACATCATCTGGCTTCGCCCACCTCCAAACCGGCGGACGCGGGCAACCATTTTCCAGCCACCTGGGGTGGGGCTTTAGCTTACAATAAAAGAGAAAAGCCATTGTTTCTCCTATTTCTTTGTGCAATGGTCTCCATAGATTTTGGCATCAATTTTGATTGAACTGATGAGTGTGATGACTCTGTTGTAAACTGAAATAGAAAGGAATGAAGTTACCCGAAAAATGTAGAAGCCTTGAGTGGTGAATGATTCTTGGGATGAGTCGCGGACTAAGTCGCTCTCTTTAAAACGTTTCGCGGCTCTGCCCAAAGTGTGCAAGCAGTTCACAAACACCACGTCGTCCCCAGGATAAAACAGCTCAAAACCTTCTTCTGATAAGGTTCTTTCTTGCACAACGGAAAAACCTTTGAACTCACACCCTTTCGATATGTTGCTACTAACTCAATATATGTAAAACTTGTCGTTTTTTTTCTTCTTATACTTTTTAGATCTTACGGACTTGTCTCTATATGTATTTATATATATATATATATATATATATATATATATAATAAAAGAGACGTTGGGTGATGTAAATGATTTAAGGGAAAGAAAGCTACAAGTAATCAATGCAGAAGAAAACAAAACGGACTAAATCAAAACGTCCAAATCCCAACGGAATAAAAAATCATGTAAAAATAGATTTGATCTTTTTTTCTATTCAAAGAAAGAATCTCATCTTTAAGGTGAGAAGCTTTCTCACGTTTCTAGTGAATTAATGATCCTGATCAAATAATAAAGTTAATGACAATTTATAAGGTTAATAACAATTTACGTTTTATATTCAATGTTTGTAATAAAACAAATCATAAATATATTTAAATATTAAAAAAAAACATAACTGCTCTAACAATCCCCCACTTGTTTTTATTTGAAATATATATCAAACAACATATCATAAAGCTATGCATAAGTAAATGTGTTTCTCAACTTGAACATGTACATAGTGTTAGTGATCCAAATTATACTAGAGTAACTTATAGTTTTGAACTCTATCTCTGACAACACCACACACATAACTTTATTAAGGTGAAGTTTAAAAAGCCAACACATTACGGTCATGTGCTTATATCCCAGTATAGTGAACGCTCTAGAAACTTGCCCAAGATTTCATAGGAAACGACCTCACTTCCACATTCACATAGGTAAGACTATCAAGGATATTCTTGTAGCTAGATATCCCACTCAACATAGACTATAGATCTTACTAAGAGAAAACAAATCTCAACCTAGAAAACGCTTCAGGATGTCATGCTTCTTAGGGATGGACATGGAATAATATTCCAAATTAAAATTAGCAAGACTTCACTCATATCACTTGTGACTTGTTATTACCCTTTGAACCTATTTCTTGGGATCTCCAATTTATAGGTTGGGTTGCTATCACAAATGACTCAATTTTCTACGGGCTTTAGTCTCATCCCTTTCGAGGTTTTCCAAACTTTTTCTCGTGCTAGTCCTTTCGTCAAAGGATCAGCCAAGTTTTCTTCAGACCGTATATGATCCACTCTTACAGCTCCTTTAGAAAGGTAATCTCTTACAATGCTGTGCTTACGGCGTATTTGTCGCCTTTTCCCGTTATAATAACGGTTTTGCACTTTAGCTATTACCCGCTGTGTTATCACAATGGATCAAAACTGCTGGAATCGATTTCTCCCATAAAGGGGTATCTGACAGTAGGTTTCTCAACCATCCTGCTTTTTCACTTGTCGTAGCTAGCGCTATTAATTCTGATTCCATAGTAGACTGCGCCAAGATAGTCTGTTTCTTCGACTTCCATGACACAGCCCCGCCACTAATACTAAAAATATATCCACTAG